GAGAGGGAGAGAGGGAGGAGAGAGAAGGTGAGAGAGAGAAGGAAAGGGGAGAGAGGGGGGAGACAGTAGGAAAGGGAGGGGGAAGAGGGAGGGAGAGAGGGAGAGGGAGAGAGAGAGAGAAAGAGAGAGAGAGAGAGATGGATAGATAGAATTTGATTCACAATAGAGCCAAATTATGAAGGACTTCAAATGGCAAGCAGAAATTTGTATTTTAAAGGAAAGTTTCTTGAATAGAGAAAGTTTCTTGAAAAGAGACAGAATGTGGTCAGACCTCCTGATATTCTTGACTAAGAATACCAATTGGGCAGCTATATGGAGACTAGATTGTATAGATATGAGAGGAAGGGAGGACGTTAGGGAAGAGATGGAGGAGAGGGGAGAGGAAAAGAGGGAAGAGAGAGGGAAGGAAGGAAAGAAGGATTTATTAAGCAGTTACCATGTGCCAGGCACTGTGCTAAGCACCGGGGACACAAATACAAACAAAAAAGATAGAACCTGACCTTGAGGAATTTAAATTCTAATGGGGAAAGACAAAGATGAGAAATGATGAGGACTTAAACTAAAGCAGTTCTGATGAAAGTAGAGAGAAGGGTATAGATGCAAAATGCTAAGTAGATGGAACTAAAAGACCTGCCAAATGATTGAGTAAAACATTGAATGTATCTCCTATGTTGCGGACTTAGGTGAGTGGAAGAAAAGTGTTGTTCTTGACAGAAATGGGAAAGTTAGAACACAAAATGGGTTTCAGGGAAACAATGATAAGTTATGTTTTGGGCATGTGGAATATTACTTTCTTATAATACATTTGTTGCTGTTCAGTCATTTTTTAGTCATATCTGACTGTTTGTGACCCCATTTGAGGTTTTCTTGGGAAAGATCCTGGAGTGGTTTGCCATTTCCTTCTCCAGCTCATCTTATAGATGAGAAAACTGAAGCAAACGGGCTTAAGTGACTTGCTTGTCACACAGCTAATAAGTGTCTGAGGCCAGATTTGGACTCAAGAAGGTGAGTCTTCCTGACTCCAGGCCCAGCACTCTACCCACTGTACCACCCAGCTGCCCTGTGATCCATACAAATGTCAAATGGGAAGTTGAATAGGTGGCTCTGGGTTCAGGGGAAAGATAAAGAATGAATATGTAAATATGGGTACCATTTTATAGATATGGTCATTGAAGCCAATGGTAACAAATATTCTGAATCTATTCCTTCTAGTTTCACTTCTTGCTAATGACTTCTTCAGAGTTTTTAAATGTCAGAGACCAGAGAAAGTTTAGTCAAAGTTCTTTGGAGCAGTTTTCTAAACTGTAATAAATAATGAAGATTTTAACTATTTGGTTCTCTTCTAGTGAGCTGTCAAATTAGCTTAACTATATTCATAAATCATATTTCTATGATACTTTAAGGTTTAAGAAATGTTTCCCTCACTACAACTCAATGAGGTATGTCAGGTATTATTATCCCTATTTTTCAGATGAGGAAACTAAGGCTCATGGAAGGGAAATGACCCTCCAATGTTGAGCAGTTATTAAATAGGTCTAGACTGGAACCCACATCCCCTGGCTCCAAATCCAATGCTGTCACCAACATGTTAGGCTGTGTGATGGTACTGCCTTCTGCAAAAAGCCTTTTTTTGCTCCCCAGCCTCTTGGTGCTCTCTTTTTCCTCAAATCATCTTATTTTTGCTTATTCCATTCGCCTCAACAAATGTTAAAATTTCCTACCATCTTCAAAACACTGTGCTTAATACTAAACTAAGGATCCTAAGATTTTAAAAAAGGAAGCACTCCTTGCCCTGAGTGAGTTTACATTCTACTCTAATCAAATATTTTATTCTTTATTAAAATGTAAACTCCTTGAGGGCAGGCATTGCTTTTCATTTTTATCCAGGATCTTAACACTTAAAGAAGTTTACATTTCTCCTTTCCTTACTGTGGTGACAGCTGTTCTTGGTTGAGTTTGGTCACAATCTACAGATTCTATGGTGAGGTTATATTGCTTCACAGATTCATAGTCTGGCTGGGTGGTCAGTTCTATCATTCCAGTTAGTGGATGAATCCAGAACAGTCAAAGATGCTGGGCGTCTCCTCTGATTATTTTGTACCTCGCACAGCTCAGTGGATTGTCTTCATCAAAAGCACTCACTCTTCCAACTTCATAGGAGGCTGTAAGTTAACACTTCATTACATATCGTTTTAATTAAAAAGTCATTTATTCTCACCAAATGTGTCATTGATCTAGAAGCTAACTATGTCTTTAACAGCAAATAGCAGAAAAGTTCTCCAATATATGTACCCAAGCTTTGAACCAAAAGTCAATTTTAAACAATATAATGACTTTGGAAGCACTAATTTTACATAGCTAAAGAATGAAATAAGAAAAGTTTGCATCTCTTTACCACAGCATAGCTATAATGACATGGGTCAAGAATGATAATGTAGATTTTCAAGGCTTTTTCAAGAAAGAGAGATTTGGTCAAATTGAAAAGATAGTATAAAAGTGAGTTTTTGCTATTGTTATTATAACTTTTGAATATTCCACCCCATTGGTCTATGGATGATTAATTTTAGGAGATGAGTTTTATCTTCTTTGTGTTGTAAAACTGGTTGATTGGTTGTTGCACTTCATTCTCAAAGAGGACTAAAATGACATCACTATTTTAGTCAAGTTACACTGCACCCAACTGTAGCTGAGCAGACCAATACAAGCTCGGGAATGCTCTACCACAAGTCAGGCACAAATAATCTATGTGAACATTGGGGTGCATCCTCTAAAATTGTGCATCTCACATTTCTTTTGAGCTACTTCAATTCTGCTTTGCTCATAGAGCACAGCACCTTCTCTGACGAGGGTACACCGCACTGGGCAGTCCTGTGCCAGTGTCTCCCATGTCACACATGGACACAATTGCTTTTGTACATTTTTCTGTGTTTTGACTGCAGGGTGGGATCCCCACTTGCTAAAGAAAGCAAGCCAGGGTTGGGTAAAGCAAACAATTTTAGGGCACCTTTTCTAGCCCCTTCCTCACACCAGGAGGTGAGCAGTGTGGTCCTTAAAAGGCTACTCAGATACCCAGGGGGCTGCTCAATCCCACTGCTGCTTTCAATAAGAAGATGACCCTATAGTCTGGGTCACCTGTGTACAGGGTTGTGACTACAGCTCCCAGTGTATCCACACCTGCTGCTTCATCACTTGCCTCTCACCACATGACTTTGAGATAGGTAAAAATGGTAAAATGGTATGGGTGATATCTGTTGATTCATACATAAATTAGATTTAAATGAGGCAGAGTTGCACAAAGTCAGCAGCCTCATTATCTCCTCCACAGTCATCACAGTCCAGTGGCAAGATAGAGTCAAGATGACCGGTGATGGCTCAAGATACAGTGGATGACCTTGGTGTCTTCGGTCTAACCAAGCTCTAAGTGCTCCACAGTGCCTGCTTCAGTTGCCTTCATGTCATTGGAATAAATTGTTCTCATCTGCCCATTCCACCAGGGGAAGTCTTCATATGCTTCATATGTAGACACACCCCTAATTCACCAATAGGTTTGAGAACCCTCGGTTACCCTTAACTTGGTTTAACCCATCTGCTGAAATGGTTTACCAGGGTATGGCCACTGCGCATGCTACAGCTTCTTGGAGCCACAAGGGAGAGTTGGGTGGATGAGGTAGTTGCCAAAGGTGGAAAGCAGCCCTCACACCAGAGGTACTAGTCTTCCCTGAACATACCCTACACTCCACACTGTGAAATATCACCTCATTGTAATAACCAGTACCAGCCATAGTCATGACTAAGATTTTTCTCTGGAGTGCCACCATCCAGTAGGGCATTTTCCCATTCTGGGGCAACAAGATCCTGGTGGTGCAATAACCACCATCTCCTCACCTCATAATCCTCTGCCTGACTTGCCACTAATGATGGCCTTGCCAGCCACAAAATCCTGTCACCTGCCTGCCTTCCTCTAACAGCTTTGGAGGCTTCCCTCTCTCCCAGCAGAACTGTACCTTAGAATGGACAATCTTCTACATAACCACTGTCTCCATTTTCCACTCCAGGCTCCCCCCCTCAACATTCAACTGTTTTTGCTCCCAGATAAATAAATTATAGCTCTAGTGCCAGTATTTGGGAGACAAAAACTGTTTGGAGTGGAAGTCAAGAACTTCAATAGCAGTGGACCACTGTTCAATAGTGTGACTCATTTCATGTACCATCCCATGCTCTCCTGCTCCTAAGAAGCCACTGTCTTCATGAGAGCCCTGTTACCTGCTCCATAGTTTCCAAAGAACTGTCATTAATTCATTAATTAACAACTTTTTATTAAGTACTTACTATCTGCCAGGCACTAGGGATACAGAGAAAAGCAAAAATAGCCCCTGTGCTCTAGGAGTTTAGAACTGAATGCCTCTTAAGCATCCCAAACTCACCACATCCAAAGCAGACCTCATTGTTTTCCCCAAAAAGCCCATCCCTCCTTCAAAACTTCTCCTTACTATTGAGGGCACTGCCATCCTCCCAGCTGCCAAGGTTCAAAGCCCCAGGAACATTCTCAACTTCACCCTCTCCCTCACACCATAGGTTCGATCCATTGCTGAATCTTGTCATTTCTGCCTTCACAACAGCTCTCACCTACATCTCTTTCTCTCCACTCCCATAGTGACCGCCCAAATTCAAGAACTTATGACATCTTGCCTGATCTATTGAAATATCTTCTTAATTGGGCTCCCTGTCTCAAGTCTCTCACCATTCCAATATAGCTTCCATTCATCTGCCTCAATGATTTTTCTAAATCACAGGATGACCTCCAAGGGTTCCCTATGACTTCTAAGATTAAGTATAAAGTTCTTGGGAAGGAGCACTTAAAGCTTTTCACAACCTTGTCACTGCCTGATTTTCCAGTCTTTTTACACACTCTACACCCCTCTATGCATGCTATAATCCAGCCATATTCCCACCAGCTGTTTCCTACACACAACACAATATCTCCTATCACTTTGCCTTAACACTAAAATTTCCCTAGGCATGGAATACTCTGCCCCCTCACCTCCACCTCTTAGAATCCCCAACTTCCTTCAAAACTTAGCTTAAATGCTTCCTTTGGCAAGAGGCCTTTCCCAGTTCCCCATCTGCTAGAGCCTTTCCTCTGAGTAGTGTTCATCTATTTTGAATGCATCACACATGTTGTTGTTGTTGTTCAGTCATTCAATTGTGTCCAATTCTTTCTGACTCCATGGACCATAGCACGCCAAAACTGTCCATGGGCTTTTCTTAGCAAAGATATCAAAGTGGTTTGCCATTTCCTTCTCCAGTGGATTAAGGAAAACAGAGGTTTGTGACTTCAGGGTCATACAGATAGTGAGAGTCTGAGGCCAGATTTGAACTAAGGTCTTCCTGACTCCAGGCCCAGCACTCTATCACTGAGCCACCTAGCTGCTCATCATATATGTTCTTATTTACAAATATGCTGTCTTCCCCATTAGAATGTAAGCTCCTTGAGGACAGGGACTAGTTCTGCCCTTTTTTGTATCAAGCATTTAGCAGTGTCTTAAACATAATAAGTGCTTAATAAGTGTTTGTTGACCAACTGAATGTACATGAATTGCATATATAATTTACACTCAGAGTCAATGGAAGGTGGCCTTGGAGGAGAAGCCTCTAGTCATTGGGAGTTCAGTAAATAAGAGTACCTCAAGAACAATCAGACCTTACGCGTGAACAATGAGCAAATTGCCCAAAGCTACAAACCACATACACCAAAATTCCAACCTCTTGGTTGACTGAAAGATATATTTTAAAGTATCTTCAATGTGGTATGCCTTATATAAATACATCCAAAGGAATAAAGGTTAAAATTCCAATCTGCCTCATACAGTCCTGGGCAGAGATTGTGTCTTTTTCACATTCAACACTCAGTTAAATATACTGGAAAGCTTATATTCTTCTGTAGGTGTCAAATTAACCTTTCAATAAAAACTACGAGCTATCTTGAGCATCCCCAGCTAAAGTTTAAAATAGAGTGATTATGAAACCCACTGTAAGGCTGCCAAGTTTCTTCATCAAAAACCATTGTAAATGAAACCTGTTTTCCCATAAGACTTATAGCCCAGCATGATACGATTCTCATTTACTTCCTTTAAATAATTTCTGATGAAGGAAATTTTTCCTTCTAATTTTTTTTCTTCCCAGAAGCTTTACATCAATGAGAGATTCAGGTGGGTGTCACATATCATCAGAGAAAATTACTTTAAATATTTTAGATTCTCATAATTTCATCCCCCAAAAAAACCTCTTGTAGTCATCAGCCTACCACTCAAGCTTCTAATCAGAATCATATGAAAGGAGAATATTTTCCATGTTAAAGCATTTATGAAACACCTTTAAAGTCTACAGGTTAAACGTTTTAGGTCCTGGGTGTAGTTTTGTTCAAGAACATTTTTATCCCTCCCTTCTACACTTGTTAGCAAATCATCTCTGTCTTTCAATCATGTCTATCTTTATAAGAAATTAGAATTAAGTCCTAGGACTATAGGTTACTATAGTATCAGCCCTCTGAAGCATCACCTCACTCATGCAGATGGGCCCACATTTTAAGAAAACTATATATAGTAATGTCACACTTTTCTAAATGTCATATGCCTAATAGACTTATATTAAACATAATCAAGAATTAAGAAATAAACAAAGAAATTTTTAAAAAGGGAGTAGAGATAAAAGTTGTTATTTGTTAAAAGCCACACAATAAGATGAGAATAAGACGGGGGTCCTTAGCTTGGTGGGTTTCTTCTTAACTATATTTCAATATAATTGGTTTCTTATTCATACTATGTATTTTGTTTTCAAATTGTAAATAATGCTATTTAAATACTATTTTTAAATATTTTGCAAAAGGGTCCATTACCCAACAAAGTTAAGAACAACTGATCTAGAGGGAGGGCTAGCTTCTGAATCATCTGACTCTTGGTTCACTAGACCTCATTCACTTTGCTTTAAGAATGTTGTAAGGATCAAATGGATGTGAAATAACAAGGTGTCATAGAAGCACATCCATGATTTTTCTCAGAGCATAAGAACTCTTTGGAAACAATTCTAATCATCTTGGCTTCTCAGTCATACCATAGACTAGAAGCCATATATTAGAAATCTGGCAGAGTCAGACACACTTAGAGGAAAGAAAGAAAGAAAGAAAGAAAGAAAGAGAGAGAGAGAGAGAGAGAGAGA